GCAGGATCTAGGGTGGACTGAGCATGTCTTAAAGACAAAGGGAAGACGAAGAAATTTAAGGTAACGTGATGGACGGTGTCTAATTAGAGGAGTATAGAAAAGTAAGAAATAAGATTAAGAGCACAAGTGTAACACCATTCCCTATGACATGGAAGACAGAGAAGAGCAGATGAGCACAGAGACAGATATTGTGAAAGGGAGAGAAAGAAAGGTGAGGGGTACCCATTGTAAGCTTGGCTCTGACGGTTAAGTTCTGGGGTTGCCTTTTGCAGTGGAAGAATCAGGTTGGTCTGGAAGCTGGAGTAGAATGAAGAAGGCTTGGCACAGACCTGGATGGGAGCAAGTCAGGTAGTCAACAAAGGATATAAAATTAGTGGCCACTAGACAAAATTAGTACTAGTTTTTAGCACACCCAATCAATACCATGCTTAACATTCCTCCCAAAATATGTTATGACACTGAGTCACTGTGGTTTTTGCCCTGTTACTTAGCTGAGGCAACAGGGACTTACAGAAATGGCTAGTTTATGGTTAAGGTTAAGAGCCCATGCTTTTTACTCACTCTGGTATATTGCCTTTAAATCGAAATCTTAAAGGTAGACCTGAAGACATATTGGAAATTGGAGTAATAGGAGTAAAACCAGCCACATCAGAGCAGTCAGGAAGGAGAGCTGATGTTTTAAGTGAGCAAGCAGACAGGGCTGAGCACCAGGTCAGGGTGCATGGCTTTTTCATGTGTTGGAATCATCTGGAAAGAAGGAGGATCCCAGTGGGAGAGGGGATGATTGAGAATCAGGAGACAAGGCCTCATCCCCTGTCCTCCACCTTCATCTAAGGTGCAGTGCTGTGACAGTCCTTTTGCCACCTGGTGCTTTCTGCTTCCCCCACAGCTAGAGAGATTAACTAGACTGGTGCTTCAAGTTTTCAAGTTAAAAACCCCTCCTGGGAACCCTAATATGTACAAGTAATAAATAAGGCTGAGGATGGGGGCTGGCTGGGGAGAAGTTGGAACTCTACTGCTTAATTCTGTTTTTCTCTCCTAATTTCTGTACCAGCTCACCCCCAACCCCAGGCTCCTTCCTTCTTGGCATCCAACACCTTCAAGGCCTTCTTGTGGCAGTTTATAATCAGTGGCCTAGATTTCACTGAACTAGCTCTAGCCTTTTGTCTGTCCTCTTCTCCCTTCCCTATGTGGCCCCTTCACGCTCCAGCTCCTTTTTTTTTTTTTTTTACCACACTGCACAGCACATGGGATCCTTATTCCCTGACCAGGGATCAAACCCATGCCCCCTGTGTTGGAAGCACAGAGTCCTAACCACTGGACCCCCAAGGCAGTCTACTCCAACTCTTTTTTCCCCTCCCCTCCCCTCCCCCTCCCCGAGATCCCTCGAACTCCCCGGGAACCTACCCCCTCCCCTACTCCCTACCCCCCTCCCCTCCACTGTAATCATGCCTCTGTGCACCGAGTCACAGTGACCCAGAGGTCTGAATATTTGCATTTTGATCTTGTGTCTGACAGGACCTTGTTCCCTGCCTCTCATGGGAACAGGGAGTTAGCACATCTAGGGATCCTATGCTTTGGTTCTATTCAATTTTCTTTGAATCA